TTTTATTTTTTTTATCTTCTAATAATTGTATTAATTTTTTTAGAAAATTATTATCATTTATTTGATTGGTAATAAATGATTTATTTTCTAATATTTCTAATATACATTTATTATCAATAGATAAAAGTATAGAATCATAAATATCTAAATAATTCAATTGTTTTTTTTGTATTTATTGAATAGAGTTGTATGTATTACTTAATTCTTTTTGATTTTTTTTTATTAATTCATCATAATATCCATCTTTAATAAGTTTTTTTTATTTATTTCATTTGTTATTTTATCTTTTAATGATAAAAATAAGTTATTATTGGTATTTTTATTTATATTATTAAAAAAAAGATTTAATACAGAATTAACTAATTGATTATTATAATTGTTTGATTTCTCATTAAGATAGTGATTTATTTTAGTATCGTAATTATAATTTATACAATTAAAAGGTTTTATATTAAAAAAAGAATATCCTAAACAAATATATAAATTCATATTTTTTATTTTTAATAAAAAAATAAATATTTAATCAGAATTTATATTTATTTTATTTTTCAAAAAGAAAAAATTTGTAGTTAATGAAAAATTTAAAAAAGATATTAATATTTTAATTAATTTGTTATCTAATAATATATCTATATATATATTATTTATTTTTTTGTTTAATTTAGGATATTTATAAAGTATATTTTTTAAATTTTTTCCAGATAAAGAATTGTTATATTTTATAGTATTGTAATATTTTATATTTTTAATTTCATTAATATTTTCTTTAGGTTTAATTTTATTTATAATTATTTTTTTTTGATTAGTGTTTTTATTTAAATTTTTATTAAAATTATCTAAAAATAATTTTATTGCATTATTTAATTTTTTAATATTATTTTTTTTATCATTTATTAATTTATAGTTTTTATTATTATTATAATAATTATTATAAAAATTATTAGGTAAACAATCAATATAGGAAATATCAGAAGAACTACCTCCTGTACATATATATTTTGTAGAGTTCACATTGTGTAATAAAGATAATAATAAAAATAGGATAATAATATTTATTTTATTTAATTAATTAATATTTTTTTCACGATATCCAATATTAGGTATATATGTAATTATATCCATATTCTCAAGATTGTTAACACATATTTCATAAAGGTTTAATTTATGAGAATTTTCAAGTATTGTAGTAAAAAGTTGTTTCATCATTCTATCACAGTTTTCACATCTAAACATAGTTAAAAATCCATTTTTATCTAAATATTTTTTAATATAATCATTTTTTTTGTTTTGAATAGATTTTTTCATTGCTACATCTATTTTATCATCTGTTATTATTATAGAATAATCTTTTTGTGTTTCACTATCAAGAATTGTTCTAAGAATATCAATGTTCATTGTATTATAAAAATCAAACCATCTAATAGCATTTATAAAATTTTTTTTTTCTTTAACTTTATATTTAATTTTTTAATATCTATTTTTTTCATTAAAACAGTTTTTACAATTCCTTTTATTTCTTTAATAATTTTGTTTTTCTCATCGATAGGAATTGTATCAGATTTTTTTGATAGAAGATCCCATACTTTTTCTATTAATGAATTTTTTGATTCAATATAAATTTTTGATTTGAGATTCATATCAATAGCTCTTAATTTTGTTTTAATAATTAATAATTGTATATTTTTTATATTATCTATATCAAGTTCTGGTAGTGGTAATTTACCTTCAGTATGTAAAGCCCATAAATTTGAATCTTTTACATCTGGATCTGGTAAATTATCATATGTTAAACATATTTGATTAGCAGAACTTGGTTTAGGATTTCCTTTAACACCAATCATAACAGCTTCTACAGAATGATTTTTTTTATATCTAAAAGAAACTGCTGATAAAAGAAAATTTTGATATTTATAATCTGAAATACTTTTAGTAAATGGATAACCCAATGTATTTAATTTTTTCATTGGTTCTTCACTTGCAGGGAGCATAATTCCATTTATTAGATGAAACACAATATCATTACTTGGTATTAATTCTTTCAATTGTTGTGTAGTTAAAAAAGCTTTTCCTTTTTTTAAATGTCCAACATGACCTATTTGCTGGACCATACTCGCAACTGATAAGTATTGAACATCTTTTTCATCATAAATCCATCTTTCTGCACCTGATCCTTTTCCTAATTTTTCTAATTGTGTTTCACCAGTTAATATCACATTATCAACATCAGGACTAAATCCCATTTCATGATTAATATTTGCTATAAACAAAGAACCAGGTGGCATTTCTTCTGTTATACCAGATACAGCAAATGAATTTGTATTATCAAATATTACAAAGGGTATATCACTTTCTTCTAATAATTTAAATTTTTTTGGATCTAATCCAGATTTTAATATTGGTTCAGCATTTGTATCTTCTTCACCATTTATTTTTCTAGGATATTTATTTGAAGTTGTTCTAAAAAATATTTGTGTTTTTTCATTTTCCCAATTTGTTTGATCAGAAAATTTAGTTATAGAATATACTTCTCTTGGTTTTGATATTGATATGAAAAAGTTTTTTTTAGGAAATGTAGTACTCATTAATAAAGTATAATATCCCATTCTAATTATTAGTAGTTGTACTACTTGATAACTTGTATTAGGAAAATGTGCTTCATCAAATATAATAATAGTATTTTCTTTATCTATTAATTTTTCTTTTATTTCCTTTAAAGCTTCATCAAAATCATCATAATTTTTTTAGGATCTTTTAATTCATCAATATTTACTTTTTCACATGCAATAAATCTAACTAAATGATGTAATTGTAATATTGATAATGTTGATTTTCCTAGTTCAGTACTAGATTTTTTTTCATATATTGGTTTTTTTTTATTAGGTTTATTCTTATCATCTTTTTCATATCCAGTTAATTTATTCCATGATGCTAATTCTCCATTTTTCACTGTATATGGTAATTCTTCTTGATTTTCATGTATAACATATTTGTAAGGAATACCATTACTATATTGTAACCATGTATTATGATGATTTTCAGCATTAGCTGCTAATTCTTCATTTGGTATAATTAATATAATATGTTTTCTAGGAAAAATACATGTAAGTAAACATCTTACTAATTTAGTTGTTTTACCACCACCAGTTAAAATAGGAAGAATTCCTGGTCCATCAACATCAACTATTTTAAGTTTTAATTCTCTACCTTTTTTGAGTTTTACAGTAGTATCTTTTATTTTAGCAAAATTATCTGAATTATAACTATCATCATCATTTTTTAATGCTTCTATATCAAATTCTATTAGATTAAAAACATATGGTAATAAATATGTACCAGCTAATGATTTATCAAGTTCTGCTTTTTTCTCTATAACTTCAGCACCAGATATTGTAATTTTATTAATATTTCCAGTGAATTTAGAATTTTTTATTTCAGCTACTTTTATTTTTTGTTCAGGTTTTTCAATTAAACTATATCCTCTTAATTTATCTTGGTTAGGTAAAGGATCTTTTCTCTTTAACTATCCATCAAGATTTTTTTCTACTAAATTTTCATCACCTTTTCTTTGTAAAAAATTATCTAAAAATTTATTCAAGAATTCTGGTGTTACTTTCTTTTTCCATTTTTCGAATTTCCATTCTGGTGTTTCATCAAGTGATTTTATTATTTTTTTATATTGATTTGGATCTAATCTATTGTTATTATATTCATTAGTAGGTTTATTTATTTTATATCTAAATGTATTTCTTTTATTTGAAATAGCTTTTAATAAGTCATCTTTTTTTGCACCTTGTGGTAAAAATTCATCATTTAAATTATCTATATTGTCTATTTCAAAATCTTCAGATAATGATTTAAATGTGTTTCTATTTTTATCTTGAATTTTTTCAAGAATATCTAATGATTTATCCAATTCAGATTTTTTTATTTTTAAAACATTTATTTTTTTAAAATTTCGATGTTTTATATAGTTATTTAATATTAAATTGTTATTTTCATTATTCCATCCATTGTTTAATGCTATTTTACATTCTTCAATAGTTAAACCAGAAAATTGCCAATTGTCTTGATTTTCTTCAGGAATATTTTTTTTTTCAAAAAAATCCAACCAATCATTTTTATCAAGCATTTTAATAATAAAAAAATAAAAATAAAGTAAAAACATAATATTTATATATCTTCATTTTCTAATTCATCTTTTCTGTCTTTTCTAATTTGATGTAATTTTTCTTTCGTATTATGTTTAGAAAGATAAACTTCATTTAATTCTTCGATATTACGATATATTTCATTATAAAATTCATCTGATAATAAATATGAATTATCACAATTTTTAATATCTTCAATTAAAGAATTATATTTTTCATTTTCTTCTTTTTCAAATTGTTTTGTTAATGAATTTCTTTTTGCTTCATGAATTTCATTTAATTTATTTTTACTCCTATCATCAGTTAAATAATTTTCATTTAAAGAATCTATATTATCTATAATGAATTTTTTAAGTGTTTCTGGTGTTGAAAATTTATTAATATTTTTTACAATTGTATCATATTTTTTATTATTTTCTTTTACTAATTTTTCTTTTCCTTTTGTTTTATCTAATTTGTTTTTTATCAAATTCAAAATATCATCTTTTTGTTTCTTTGGTAATAATTTATTTTTTATTACTTCATTATTTAATTTTTCTAAATCTTCTTCAGATTCTAATATGTTTAATGAATCTTCAAATTGATCATATTGTTGATTTATCAAATTGTTTAATTTTTCATTTCTTAATTTTTCTAAATCTTCAATATCATCTGATGGTAGTTTTGAATTAATAATTTTTTGATGTAAATCATTACCATTAAATAATTTTTCTGCATCTGATAATTTAATATTTTCAATTTTTTCTTTTAATTCTTTAAATGAAATAGTTTCAGATTCATCAATAGGTTTGAGATTTTCAATTTTGTCTAATCGATTATTTTCTAGTCATTCTTTTTGTGATTCAGATAAAAATGAATCATTAATTATAGATTTTAATTCATTTAATTCATCTATATCTTTTGAATTATTTATTATATCATCAAATTCATCATATTGTTTTTCTATTAATTTATTTAATTGTTTCTCTCTTAATTTTTGTAATGTTAAAATATCTTTTTCAGGCAAGTTTGAATCAATAATTTTATAATAAATATCATTATCATCAGTTAATTTTGATATATCAGATAATTTAATATTTTCTATTTCATTTTTAAGTTTATTAAAATCATCAGAATTTTCAGGTATTTCTGGATCTGGTTTTTCCAGAATTTCTTCTTCACCTAATATTTTTAATCTTCTTTTGTTAAATTCTTTTTTAGCATCATTTGATATGTTTGTTGAATCTATTAATAAATGAATAGGACCATCATTATTGATATAATTTTTACATATTTCTCTTTTTGAATTTAGATTTTGTGAAAATATACTAGAAGAATCTGGTATAAATAGTTGATTTTGCTTTAAAGATTCTGATAATGTTAATAAATCATCTAAATATTGATTCATATTTGTATTTTTTTCTAATTTTACTAATCTATCCATATTTTCTATCCATTTATTTTCAATAATCTTTTTTTCTTCATCAGAAAATGGTTTTGAATTCCAAAAGAATGGTTCATAAATTCCACTTTTCATAAAATTTTCAAATCTATTATTTGTTGAAAAATCATCTATTAAAAATTCAACTTTACAATAATTTTGTATTTGATGTTTTCGTAATGCTATTTGTGCATGTATATCATTAATTTCATCTATATTAAGTTTAACTAATTTATTAAAATATTCATTTTTAAATAAAGAATTATATATTCCATTAGTTGTTAAAGTATTGCAATCTACTTCAGTTTCCAACATTTTTATCATTTCAGGTGTACATATATTTTTATGTTTTTGATTATATTTAACAAGATGTTTTACATATGTAGATCCTACTAATTTGTAAAAATTTTTAATTTTTGTATTTGCATTTAATTCATCAACAGTTTTAAAAATCCAATAAATGTTATTAATATTTAAATCTATGAATTTGATAATAAATATCTCTACCATTTAAACCAATTTATTTTTGCAGATTTTTTTATAATATCTAATCATTTTTTTTCTAAAGCAATTACTTTTTCTTCACCCATTGCATTAATAACATCTTTATTTCTTAAAAAACTATAAACAAATCCTTTATACATTAATAAATCTGAATCTTTATTATTTTCTAAAATATTATTTAAAAAATTTTCTTTATCTGGTAATTCTTTTGTTAATGTATTACAAATATTTTTTCATATAGAATATAATACAATACTATTTTTTTTTAATAATTCATTGGTATTAATTATTTTTTCATATTTTTCAGCTTCACAATAATCTAAAATGTTTTTTTTATCATTTTTCAATAAAGATTTAAATTCATCATATGATATGTTTGTAATATGTGATTCATCCTTTTTAATTTGTTCATCAACCTGTTGAGCATATTTATTAAATGCATTAAGATATTCTGATGATGATATCAAATCATATTTTTCAATATAAGTATTCCAGATAATATTGAAAAGACCATCAAAAGCGTTTTTTATTTGAGAAGGTTTGCAAATAGATGTATTTCCAGATATACAATTACTAATAATTTGGTTATGAGTATTATAATTTATACAGTTATAACATGTTGATTCAATATTCTTCATATAAATCATCCATGTAATTAATATAAGGTAAAGGGTTATGGTTGTAATTATTTTCATAGTTATTTTGATTATTTATTAATTTGTAAAAATATTCTATATTTGGATTAAAATTTTGAATTTGATTGTTATAAGGATTTAATTTCATACATTGAATAAGATTTTCATCTGAATTTACAAGAATACATGTATATGTATTTAAAAATATATTTGGTATTAAAATTAAAAAAAAGAATAAAAAAAACATTTTTATTAACAGTATTTTAATAAAGTATATTTATATATGTTTTTAAATTGTTAAATTGTTAAATATTTGACCTATTTTTAAATGTAATCTATTAAATAAAAAAATATCATCATTTCTTTTAACAGACAATAATAAATCTATAATTTCTAAAAATAATCTTTTATCTATTTGTTTAATTTCATTATAATATAAATCATTTCTATTTTTATGTATACCATTTTTTATTATAGATTTCCAAGGATGTAAATAAAAATTTTCTTTATAAGATTTAATATGATTTAAAATTAATCTACAAATATAATTAGTTGTTTCAATATTTGTTTCAATAATTTTATTATATCTTTTAATTATTAAATCTATACTTTTACTTAAAGGATATCCAAAAGGAAAATATATTGGTTTTAATTTGATTGAATTATTTTTTCTTTTTTTAAAAGTAATAGAAACATGAATTTTTAAAATATTTGTATTTAATTTGGTTTCTTTTATTATTTTTAAATTTGTTTGTAATAAATTAATTTCTTTTAAAAATTCATTTTTATCTTTTAAAAAAAATATATTAATATTTTTTAATAATTCAAAATATTTTTCTCTTTTTTTATTATTTTTTTCATTGATAATAATAGATTTAAAATTTTCTATTAATTCATTTCCTTTCTTTCGAATATTATTTTTTAATTCTTTAATATGCCAAGATTCTAATCTTTCATCATTTTGTATAAGATTATACAATTTACTACCTGGTTCTAATTCTGAAAGTTTAGTTTTTTTATTTATTTTTTTATTATAATATAATAATATTTCTTTACAATCTGATAGAAAATCCATTTATTTAATTCTAAAAAAAAAAATAATTCTTATATTTATATTTTTATTCTTCATCACCAAGTGGATCTCTAGTATCTTCTTTAGATGGTTGTGTATCTAATAATTAAGATTAATAAAATTAATTTATTATAATATAAAAATAAAAATTATATAGTTTTTTTTATTTACCTGTTTCAGGAGGTTTATTTATCATTTCTTTAACAGCATCTATTAATTGTTGCATTGCTGATCCTGTTGTAAATTTAAGATTCGTCATACTATCCATATTTGTATCATATCCCATCATAGGCATTACTTTATTTACAATAAGAAAAGGACCAAAATGTGTAGGAAATTTTGGAGTTTTACCAAAATGTGTTATATCATTATTATATTCTAAACCTATTTTTAAACTATTTTCAATTCTTTCTTTAATTATTTTTGGATCTACAGTTACTGTTAAAACCCAAATAACATTAGGTTGGTAACCAGTCATGTTAGTTTGATTATCTCTATCACAATAATAAAGTATTATATTTTTTTCTTCATCAACTTTTTTTACACCAAAAGGCATTCCTTGTGATTCAGATTTTTGTCCTTTTGTTGTTTGAACATGAGAATAATAAATGTATATACTAAAATTATGCCAAAAAGGTTTATCACAACATTTAGATTGATTGTTTTTTAATAATTCATTTACATTAATTGGTATATCAATTGCTGTTATTTTTTCTCAGTTTTCTTCAATCAATTGTGATTGCATATTTTTATCAGTATCATCAAATCTATATGTTCCTTTTTTAAAAATATCTTCTAAACCAATATTTTCTTTTAAAAAAATATTTACATCATTTCCATCTTTATCTTTTACTGTTTTATCTTTTGCAATTAAAAGAGATAATGTAATTATAAAATCACCAGGTGGTTCATATAATTTTATATCATCATATAAAGGTATTCCATCATTACTTTTTGTGTTCAATACAATATTCATATCAATTTGACAAAAAAACCCATGTAATTTTAATCTAGGTGCTTTAGGTACTTCTTTAGAAATTGTTTGACCAAATCGTTTACACATAATTAAGGAATTTGTAACAATATTTTGTTCTGAATAACTAGGTTTTCCATATTTTATTGTTTCTTCATTGATTTTTTCATCATTTTCTTCAACAATACTAGTTTCAAATGTTCTAGAAGTATCAATAAATGATGTATTTGGAAAAAAAATAGAAACTATTTTATTTAATGAAGGTGAACTACCAGGTCTTTTTTGAATACTATCATCTGTATCTTCAGGATCACAAATTATATCACATGGTAATCCAGATATATTCATTGGATTTACTTTATTACTAGCATATTTCATATTATTATACAATGAAAAATCATCAACATCATTACCAAAAAGATTTGTAAATAAATCATTAGAAAGTTTATTTTTTTTTGATTTAGAAATATTTGTATAACTATCAAATACTTGAGGAAAATTATGTTTATTCATTTTAATATAAATAAAAATATAAATTTAAAAGAAAAAATTATTTTGTGTTAAAACAAGCTTTTAGTTGTTTTTGAAAATAATTAAGATTTTGTGTTTGTTTCATTTTGGAATTTGATTTATCTTTTATAGATTTTTCTTTTTTGTTTTTAGTGTTATCAGAATTTATAGATATTGATGATGTATTTTCTAATTCTTTGATAACATTTTCATTAATTACTTTTCTTTTTTTCAAAAGATTATCCAATGTTTCACCAAGTTTAAGTAAATTTTTAACTGTTTTACTTCTATCTTTAATTAAACTAATATTTTGTCTTTTTAA